GGTGCGGAATCTTAACATTGAAAGGCGTTTTGTGGCAGAAGCAACACAGTTTTCATTTTAGCTGAAAGTATGGTTAAAATATTGCACTTATTGCAATGGCAGATGTTTAAATGCACATTTAACTCTAATTCAGGTTAACATTTTATACTTTCACTTTCAACACAATATCAATCCTCGTATAGAATATTCCATTATTGATTCAATCAGGGAGGTGAAAGAAAGGAGGCGAAACTATGAAACTCTTGTAATTTATTCAAACGCATTCGTGAGTTCTAAAGCGTAACAATGGGATGTGTAACATTCTACTTGGCTTTGAAGTTCCATGCTTCGAATCGCGCTTCCACTGCGGGGACTCTCGGAAGCCAAGCACCAGTTTTACATTTGTTAAAAAATATTAAATTACCGGCAAAATTTCAGTGTAAATCAAAACTTTACATGGGGATTGTATTGGGAATAGTACATCAAACAACTTTTTAAATTTAGTACTCCGTCCTTCCTATAATTTGTGTGCCAGAGTTGGTAAACCAAAAATTACATCCTGACAAAAACTCATTAATTTAGGATAATGCGCAAATTTTTGCATGTCCCGTTATTTAATCCATTATTTACAATCTTCAATAACGTTAACTTGGCTAATGCGTGTTTTCGCGTGTGTTTTATATTTTTGAAGTTAAAATAAGGATGAAATTACACAAGTTTGCGTTTGCTTGTTCTACTCTTTACACATTCAACAATGGATGAAAAGTCATTGAAAGGGACAGTGAACAGTTGCTGTGATACCATTTTCTGATGTATAGGAATACTAAATCCTGAAATTTCATGCGCTGTTTTATCTCACCACCTGGTCAACAGTTGCAAATTAGCGCATAACTTTTCGGCGGCTTGGAACATGGGGTCAAAGGAGAGCGGCTTGATTCCAGTCCTTCTCTATCACGTCCCTGATTCAATCATGTACCCTGAACTGTATTGAATTGTGTTATCATTAAGGGTAACTTCCCTATAATGCCTCGAACCCCTTTATTACTCGACATCCAAGTTTTTTTGTTTGATTCTTGGGAGGGGGGGGGGTATTATTGCAGTCATAGCATTCTAGCTACAAGCTACTTAGTCAGCAATTATAATCGCATCACGGGTCAATTAAATGATAGATCTTTTTCATATTTAACCATTCCGCAACGGGATCTATTCGTCTGGTGTCCGCTGTTTTTGTTCTCCCAGCTTCCTGAACCTTTTATTCAGATGGTTTTCAGTTTTGATTATGCTTTTGCTCGTAAAGTTCATGTCCCAGTAATTGTTGATAATAAGGAACTGGATAAAGCGACTGTATGGCAGGACTGGTATATTTGATATGTTTCATCAAGGCACAATGCAACAAGCATCCATGATAATTAACTCTAGTTCTCTCTCTCTCTTTCTAAATCTCTCTCTCTATCCCTCCATCACCCCCTCTCTTTTTCTCTACATATTTCCCACTCCGTATACCCCCTTTTCATCTTCAATTCGGGAGCATTGTTATAGGTTTTTTTAAAACTTTGCTTATGACCAGCGGTGTAGCTCCAGGGCCCCCTAAACGGGAATGAAGAGAGACGGAATGAAAGATATAGAGACAGAGATAGGTTATTATGCCCATAATAAGCTCACCCCTAAGGCCTTGAATCCACGCTACGCCACAGTTATTTCATGATCCTTCAAATACTTTCATTTGACTGAAATACAAGGAAAATCAAGGCCGTTAATTTAAATAGATTTTATTTTCATATCTATTTTAATATTTTCATCCACATATTAAATACATTTTCCTATAAGTTGTAATGTGATTCCAATGATACTCCTCTGAATAAAAAGCAAGACATTTCATGAACCATGTCAATCATATAATGCAGTGCAAATGTTTCTTTCAGTGACACACAAGCCATGCCCAAATCAATAATTAGGCTCAAATAACTAGTTTGCCTGAACAAACCTTCGTCAGTCGATGTGCGTTTACATACAGTGTCTGCAATGTAAGCATATAGGCTCTGGTCAAGTCTTTAGGAATCGTTGGTAAATTAGAGTCTGTGCCTGTATTTAACTTCGTTTCGTGCATAAAGTTTGTCGTGCATGGCTGATTGTCAACGAAACGGAGTTAAGTCTTTGTCAATTCCGAAAAAAGCTTTTCCGGGTTCCGAAAAAGCGCGTACAGCCATACACTAGCTTTATCCGGAAACAGATAACATTCATTTCATCGGTGCTTTCACATCGATAGAAAGAGAATTTCTCCTGCTCGTTAGCAGAAGAATTTAATGGCTCTTCTTTTCATTGGCTATTCTATCGGCTTTTTCTCCTCGGTACCATTCATAGTGGCCGTTTCATCGGATGCGTCCGGATGCATCCGATGAAAATCAGGCCACTTTGAAAGGAAATCAGGCCACTATGAAATGGGTATTTACAAACAGAAGTTGATAACCGAAATCATGGCATTTGATTTGATAAAGAGAGACGAAAAAAGGAATGTGACTTTAAACTTTGTAAACGGAATATAATTATGATACATTTATCAGATTCTGATATAAAAATAGACATTTATGCACGTCTACGAATAAATTATATATGTTTTAAAAAAGTTCACATAAGTATACATGTAACCTAGACAAATTGTAATTTTAATTAATGTGATAAATACAGTCACTTATGGTGAAATTTAGTACAGTTGCTCTCTAATAAAATTGGTGTACAATCATAGAGGAAATCCCCCCCCGGGGGGGGGGGGGGTGTGCTCAGATTTGGTTTGGATGGGGGTGTGCCACTCAAGCCTCGAAAACCCTACCCATTTCAAAGGGTCATTTTGGCAGAAAAAGGTACCTATTTTAGGATGTATGGAAAGCACTTAAATTAACACAAGTTTTGACAGAAACATCATTGACCTTGAATAAAGCATCGTGACTCTTGATGTCTGTTAAGTAGCATTAGTCGTTCAGTCCATTTCGAGAATTCTTAAAGAATCTTACTTTTTGACTGCGGGCATTCCCTAGCGATTCGTTTTTTATCGATTTTTAACGCACGGTCACAAAAGGGCTTTTAGGCCTTTTCCTCTCCTTCCACAAGATTCTCAGTTAAAAATGTCAGTCGCAGAATCTTGTACGCTATCAGTTATTCCGCCGACACAAAATCGGGCCATCAAGGGGCGTCCCTAGCATTCTTTGTTTTTCCCGGAGGGGAAGGGGTGTATTCAAGATAAATCGTCAATTTTTAGTTTTTTCTATCCCCCCCCCCGCCTCTCCCTCGACTAAATTAATCGCTTTTCATTTTTCTCTAATTTATTTCCATTCTCCCACCCTTTTTTTGGGGGGGGGGGTGGGGTATCAATTTAGCTTTAAAAAAGCGTTGGCAGCCTTAAGCATTGAGTTAATTTTGCTGACAGAAAATGTTGTCTTTTTTAATTTAAAATTATATATACATTATTCATAATGACAGTGCCATTACAGTCATAATTGATTTTGTCCATTGGTAGCAAGTTGTGTAATCGACTTAAATTTTCTGCTAGTTCTACTTTTTTCTACACGTATGAAAAATACTGCTCTATGATAAGTTACACACGCTCCACATAATATAGGCATCAATACCTTTTCTTTGTTTACATCAGGGCACTTTCAATGCATGCTTATGGGGCGTTGCAAGAAAGTTGCAATCGATTTCAAATCCCCAAAATCAAGCGTATATTAAGTCTTGCGATTAATTGCAAATTTGCAATTGATCGCAACTCAACTTTCTTGCAACGCCCCATTATATAGTTACTTCTGATCTTAGTCCGTATTCTGCTAATTTAGTTAAAAGGAATTCCAACCTTAAAGAAAACAGAAAAAATCAGAAAAAAAGACTGGTGACAGATTGAACGAAATCGGACAGAAAATAGAAAGTTACTGTAATGCAGTACCGGACAAATTGCCATTTGTACCAACCCCAAAAATGACTTATTACTTTTTTTCTCTCCAAATGACGGACTTGGGAGGATCTTTTCTTTTCAGAGGAACTATATATATATATATATATATTTGCTATCCATAATATGTTTTGAGTAGTGGATTAAAGGGCAATGGACATGATAACGAAACAAGTGACACGAAAACATATAGATGGGCCATGGACAAGAAAGTATTATGTAATCAAAACAGAGTCAAGATCAGATGCGCACTTTCTCGGCAACTCGCAGCCTCAAGAGCTATTTACTATAGTGACCGAATATTTCAAACATTCATAGCTCTGTTATTATTGGAGCGATTTATTTCAAACTTTCGCCTTTCAGTTTCTCTTATTGTTCTGCTTTCATATACAAAGAACTTATTACAAAGAATGGTTGCCCCTCTAAACCTGACAGTGGATCTAAGATTACATTTTAATAATATTAATTTAGACCTCAGAATAACTTTCTTTGTTAAAACCGATTCCAAACGAAAGCTTCGGCTCTGCATCGGGTTTAAAATTGAGTATACATGCGGGCCATAACGTTTACACTATGGATAGAGGACTTGTTGACAAGTCGGGTCATCGAGAAATCAGTTTTTTATGCAACAATATAACATTTTGGCAAATTAGTCTTAGTGAAGATCTTCAGATGTATTAAAATACCAAATGCTTCAAAATAATGTGCTAACTTGATTATTTTGATTAATTTTCAAAATAAATTTTGGATTCTGTTTTATCTGATGGCAAATCAATAATTTATTGAAGTTATCATTTAACATGTCACATTACAATATCACAGTCGGGCCTGTTTTGACATGCCTTTGGGTCACCAAGATCGACTAATACGTTTGCAAATTGATAATAAACGAGTCTCTCCGTCACGAATTGTAAACGGGGTTGGAAAAAAAAACATACAAAATTAATAATCCTGACGCTTCCAAAGAGAAACCTGATACTAAGTCTTCAAAAAGTCATTAAATATTGTGTTAACTTCTGTTTTCCAGACATAAAAAGAATTAGGTATAGGGAAATAGCCGAATAATGTTTAAGGATTAGCCCTATGCGTCTGAAGTTAAAGTATGTTCCAATATCGTTGACTCTCCATCCAGCTGGGCGCGAAACACCACTCTTTTGGCTGCTTTCCTAAACCGTTTGTTGAAGGTGGCAAAAATCAAGGCGTTCACCCAACTGTTAGACATCAGCAAAAGACTAGACACGTACCTGGCCATAGGCGTCGCGATTGAAGTCTTCTGGCTGAACTGCGAACCAGAAACTATACTCCAGGGAAAAATAGCAATAAAGAAGGCGATAGTAGTTACTATAAGAACGCGGAGGGCTTTGAGGCTTCCTCGACGGGTTTGGATGGCGTTTTTCTGGGTGGTGTCACTCTCGTTGGTGATATCGCTAGGGGCAACGTTTGCAGAACGTTTTGATTGACCCGAAGCGACCAACATGACCTTGATGTTTGAGATGGACGTGAGGAGGAGAGTGGTGGAGAAGATGAGAAGGCTTGTCACCAGGCTTGGTCGGAAGGCGAGTCGCTCGGACGAAAAATCTGACAGGCACAAGTTGTTTTTGGCGACCGTCCTGCCCCGTAGTAAGCTCAAGGCCCCGTTAGAGGCGGCGATCGTGCATACGACCAGAAGAACAATCCTTGCGCGTTTCATCGTGACAAGATTAAAATAGCGAAGAGGAAAGATGACAGCAACAAAACGGTCAAAACAGGCGCAGGCAATGAGTAAAGCCGAAAGGTTGGTCAATCCTGTGCACGCTGCTCCTCTTATAGCGCACATTACCGACGAAAACGGCTGGCCAGCGCCGTAGATAATCGCTATGATGGTCAGTCCGCAACAGAAAATGCCCGTGAGGAAGTCTGTAACGGCAAGTGCTTTAAACGCGAACTGTTGCATGTCTTCAAAGCAGTTCTTGACTTTGTATAGGATTACCAGGATAAAGGTGTTACTGATGACGATCATCAACGAACAAATCCCAAGAAGGGTAGCTTGGGTGATACTGAGGGCCGTGATGTTTAACCCACTTCCACCCCCTCCTCCTGCTCCTCCTCCTGCTGATAATGTCACATTGGTGTAGCCTTCAGTAGTAGCCATACTGATACACTGTCAAGCCGATCCCTCAGGCGAACGATTGATCCATCATTTCAGACTCAGAGGGAAATTATGATTTATCCTGAAGGGTTGTCGTTCTGTCCTCAATGTGTTCCTTTACCCTGCGAATCGGTTGGTAAGACTTTTATCTTCAGGTAGGCCCTACTACATTGGTTGAATGTTCACTTCCACCATGTAAGTCACACACATCTGTAAATCTCTCCTGTAAAACTTGAGTTAAGGTACATTCTCAAACCCATCAATATTTTTGTGTATAATCCTTACAAGTCACGACTGGGTAAGATATTCCGCCAACTGAAGAATCGAACAATGGCCAACTGATGATAAAATCTTGCAAATACGTACGCTAATAATCTTACACTTTGACAACTATTGAGGAGCGGTGGCGAGAGACCCGTAAAAATAACGAAATTATTCGAACCACAATCACAATCGGAGAGCACTTTCACTCCAAAACTGGTATTGAACACTTATGTACACTCCTAGGCATAAAGGAAAAATTAGAAGACGCGAGAAGATGCACAACTTCACTTTTCAAAAACTATTCGAGTAATGAGAATGAGAACTAAACTCCGCTCCCCGACTCGAAAGGGCTGAGAGAAATGTCATTGAAGAGTAAACGACGTTCACGACTTTCACCCTTTTTGTTGTTATCATGTGAAGATATAGAAGCATTAATGTCACAGAGGTGCGAAAAAGCATACCGTCAAATTAATTGACTCTGTGATCGTTATCTCTTTTTATCGCGCACACGACACTAGTGCGTATTTCGTGTTCTGTGTGAATTCTTACACGATCATCAGTTCACAGTGTCACTTCGGCGGCAGGCGATAGATCGCTGAATGACAAATATCGGTATTCACAGATTTTCGGTTTAGTGGTCTCTCTAGCGCTCTGAAAACCCGCGCATGTGCAGTAGTCACAAACCACAGCGCACTTTTTATTGGCTAAGTAGTGATCAACAATTTTATTACCTTGGTCGTGTACCAAGGTTGCGCCGTCAGGCATTAAAGGTAAAGACCAGTATTGGAAACGCCCCAATTTCAAAAAATGAAATGGAAGCTCTTATTACCAATCATGTGAAAGAATATGTTTTGACTAATACACGATGATAAAAAATTTGCCGGGAAACCGCCTACTAATTCATATATTTGGTAAATTTGTTTCTCTCATGGTCTGTGAGAGATATAGGGTAGTCCCATATACATCTTTCTGTGTATAGTGCTTGTAACTTCACGAAGAATGGGCCAAATTTCTTATCATTTTGATGATTCCAGAACCTTGCAGATGCTAGATGCTAGATGATCAACCTTTTCTGATCGATTTCACAATGCAATCGCATGACCATAACTGGTCTTTACCTTTAACATTTTTTTTTTACGCCTCGTTGGTTATTTTATTAAAATGCATATTCTCTTTTGACTCGTTGTTGTGACTGATGGCTGTTTAGCTTATGAAAACCATTTCGCAAAGAGAACATTTGCTGAGTTTTCGATGATTTGACGCAATTCCAGCTGTGCTCGAAGATTCCAAAAAACGGGAGAAGTTGATTGGAATTTTCTTTTCATTATTGTTACCTTACTTTCCGTTGATTATCTAGCATTTCTCAGTGTTGTTGCTCACTGGGGGAACGTACGTGTCACCCCATGCAATCTAACGCCGAAACAAAAAATAAGAGAACATGGGAAAGAAGGAGAGGGGGCATATAACGAGATCTAATTTAACCCATCTCTATCTTTCCGTCATTTGTTCCAAATAGAATTCCATCAATCTGTTAGTAATACTAGAATATTAAGATCAGTATATGGAAAGAATGAATGAAGCCTATCTGCACTAGTTTGACCAGGAGGGATTAGACCTCCCTGCGTGGTCACTGGCAGGTGGTTATTTCATCAAATCAGCTCTCAATGAACATAAGAAAAAGGGGACCACGGGGGACCACGGGGGATCAACGGGTACCGCTTAGGCATTGTTGACCATCGAGGGCGCAAGTAGCTACAATTAGTGCAGTCCCGCGCTTTGATTCACTTGCCTAAAATCGTTTGTGTATATCATGCTGGTGTATATCAATCTGTTCCTTTATTGTTGTGATTATATTTAGTTTGTACCTATTTTGTGTTTACTTTAAGAGACTCTTATCTCTATTTCGTGTTTGTGCCAGCATGGAGCTATCGGTTCAATTCAATTCACTTAATTCAATCCCATCGTTTAAACTTTTCATAATATTAGATATTAGTTGATAGGTCCATGGATATTATCATTTTTGTTACATCATATTTAGATATCGAGAATGCCCGGTGTTTATTAATTTACAGCTAAGATACAATGCCATGTAATATAAACAAAACATTTCTTTCAGTCAGAGTTGAACTACGCTACAGTTATGATGAACATGATCATAATCATTAGGAGGACAATGATTACAATCATAATACAAATTATTATAATATTATGATAATAATAATGATAATAATAATGATAAAATGATAATGATAAAAATGATGTTTATAATAATAATGATAATAAATATGATCATAACAATGATAATAGTGATAAAAATATAAATAATGATAATAATAATAATAATTATTTCATTTTTTTTCTTATGAAGTCTTCATAATTTCCACCAAAAAAAAAAAAAAAAAAATCGCTGACAACACTCTCTGCAAATACACTCTTTAATTGATGTCACATGCGAATAATGATGATGAGGATGATAACAACAATATTGATAATTATGTATTTATATATTCATACAAAGTCATGTTCTAATGCGCCTTACAGTTATGTAATTAACAAAAAAAAGGTGAGTTTGGGGATATTTTTGATGATGATGATGACGCTGTTCTTCCTGAGGACCCCCAAAATAACGTATTACAGTGAAACCTGTCTTTAGCGACCGCCCAAGGGATACACAAAAAGTGGCCTTTGTAGACAGATTGCTTTGGTACATGATTCCATGAGGAACCATTTTCAAGGGAAACAACGAATGTGGCTTTTGCAGACAGGGGGTCTTTGTAGACAGGTGGTCACTAAAGCAGGTTTGACTGTACTATTATTATTATCATTATGATCACTAAAAATGACTAATTTTCATTATTATCATCATTATTACGACTGACTGTGACTACTTATCATTAAAAACAATGATAATAATAAAATATGGCGTTATTGCAGGGCCCTAAGGAGGGCGGGTAACATGGATAATGATGAGGCAACCATGTGTAAAATGTTAAATTGCCATTTATAAGGACAGAGGAGTGACCACTAGCTCAAAATGGTAGATTAACACTTTGTGCATCCTGGATCCAACAATGTAATATGTTAACCCTAATAAGGCCGGGGGGGGCATTATGGCCCCCCCCCCCTCCACGATTTTTCCGATTGCTCGGGAACGCATATAGATGGCGCCCCGCCGCTCGCTGACTTTTTTCTTTCGAGTCTTGCGCAACTTTTCAAAGAATTTTTTTGAAAATCGGACCTACGGTTACAAGGTCACGTGACCTTTTGTCTTTGCATGTCAGCCCGAATATCGCTCATTTTCGTGATTTGTGTTCAAAACATATGGGAAAGTCATTTTTGCTAAAAACAGATCAAACATGGGTTATTGGGTCTTGTTTGAAGTTTAGGTGGTTGTTTTTGGAGTCAAAATAGTTGATTTATAGTACGAAATGAAATAAAACAACAAAAACAATGAAATACATAAGTTAAAAAAACAATGAAATACACAAGAAATTATCAAAACAAGGGATAACATAAGGAATAAGCTGGCTCTTCCAATTTTTTTGTCGTATTATTATTCAGAATGGTCTAATGAATATATGTAGTGAAAAAGAATGCTTAAATATGAATAATATATGATTTATGGGTAAAAATGTGATTTTTATGACTTTATTTGCATAAATTACCATAAATATGCAAATGAGTCAGTTTTTCAAAAAATTGAAATTATCATATTATTCTATACACTTCACTTGACATGCGTGCAAATTTTCGCGGCGATTGGCCGCTTCGCGGCCGAGATCTTAAGGGGGGGGGCCATACTAAGACCTCAAATAGCCCGGCCTTTTTAGGGTTAACAGTGTCTGATATTTTTAGAGAAACAAATGGTCGCCATTCGGCCCTTTTAAGTGGTGATTTAACATATAACTTTTAGAGTATTCTTTATAAAAGTTTATGATTGAATAATAGGTCTAAATTTTAAAACTATCATTTTGTACGGCGTAACATACTGTAAAGAATTGAAAGGCTAATATTTCATGATGTCCATCAAACTGCTTTAAACATGACCATGATGACATAATGTAGACAATACTTGCCATGTTAAGTTACAGACAATGACTCAGAACGTCACTCGTCAGTGGGTGCACTTGTTGATGCATTGCCACCACTGAGAGATTAAACGTTTAGATAGATTTATGTAACATTGAAGTCATACGTAAATGGAGCAATACTCAAACTTGGACTTGGGACGGTTGCGTAATGCTTAAAAATTCTAATAGTAATATTCTTATTTACCCTCTGAAAAGTGTACATAAAAATAAGACAGGAAAATTAGCATTATTACATCCACTATTCGCTACACACACACAAAACACACTCACACTTTTTTTTCCTTTTTTTTAAAAGCAATTTTGTTTTATTTCTCCAAATGTGTAATACAAGCCATAACATACAATTGAATAAAATAAACGTGTTCAATATTGATTGCTTTTACATAAACACAATTAAACAAAAACTTATTTGCAGTATATATAACTTAGCAACAAAGTGAACGTATAAGTACCTAAACATAATATATATGTCAATTGTAAATGATATTCACTTATATAAAAAAAAAAAAAAACTTAAACAAATCTGGAGGTAATTTTACTGGAACAATGCCTGCTCTTCCCTGCCCCCTCCTATGGCGCGCTATTTGACCAATAACCCCGAAAAACACTGTTTATCGTGAGAAACTCTGTATCGACTGATAAACACAG